AGTGTAGAAAAAAATGTTAGCTCAAAATTATCGTTTTTTTTTTTACTTTTTAACATGGGTTTAATTTTTGTTGTATATTTCCCCCTTTTTGAGGTTTTATGTTAACTCCCCAAATTTAAGATTCAACGACTTAACATATATCTTTCAACAACAATAAAAAGTCAACAAGGTAAATCCTATATACCGACGAACTGTATTCAATATAATCGAACATCAACCCTTCTCGCTTTTTTCTCATACACAGATTTAATGCAATTTTTATTAGCAATTTCATCGTTAAATATTAATGAATCGAAAGGTATTGTAAGCGTTCACATAGTAGGGGAGTGTATATGAGAGAGACCCAAGAACCTCTACACATACTACCTTCACATCCAACAATTGTTTCTCTCTTTCTGTGTGCGTGATCAATATCCTATTTGTAGCTTTAAAAAATGACTTGCTTATCTAAGGATTTTAAAAGTAACAAGAACAACAACAACTCTTATACAATTCACTTCTTAACTTTGTGGTAATGCACCTGTCTTGTCTATGCCAAGAAAAGTTAAGTTTCGAAATGAAAAAGAAAAACCAACTTTTCGACGTGAAGAAAAATAGGAACACTCAATGTTAACTATTCAAATATTTATACAAATTTTCTAAGTTATGTGTCTGGAATGTTTTCACACAATCAAATTTTGGGAAAAAAAATGAAAATATGTGAATGAATGGACGTATGTGTGTGGAAAGTTGAAACAGGAAAATATCAATAACCCCTGGTGGTTGGCTGGATGTTTAAAAATAGAAAGCACCCATAAAATTTACTGCAATCCTCATGCCATGGTCATGTAATGTTTTTTCTTTTCTCATTTCAAGCCATCATTTCGGCCGTTAGTTACTGACCATATGAACAAGCCCTGTTATTGCAATGCTTACAATTGTGAATTGTGCCATAGAAAAAATAACAAAAATAAATATTTGATAAGTTCCTACGTCCGTTGCTGTTGTAACATAACTTCAAAATCTTTAGTTTAACCCTTACTGCTCGAGTACGATACGAATACCTGGGATTCATTTCTAAATACAAAAAAAAAAAAAAAAACCAACGGACGAACGACAGAAAACCATAATCCTATGTCCATCATTGTATTCCTATATAGAATAAGATGAGAAAAAAAGGGCTATTCTCTGGCTTTTTCTAAGAATTTTTATAAGTGATTTATATGCAGTTGTGGCAAAAATACCACAACCAATGCGGTAAACATCTTTTCAGAAAACTTCTGAATGCACTTGTGTATACATTTGAAAATAACAGACCCACAGACACACACAAGCATATATTTATATGGACAAGGATTTACCTCCACACACACATACAATAGCATGGCACACAAGAATGATGTACAATGCACTTTTTACGCCAAACAATTTTTCAATTAAGGTTCGTTTTTTTTTTTTTTGCCTTAAAAATTTCCGTTTTCTGGTGTCAGTGTGGTATGTTGCAGCTTTAGCCATGACATACGCCAGGAGGATACTGCCTTGATGTATGAGCGGGAGTGGTCACAAATTAATTTTATCACAAACCAAGAACGATAGAGAGGAGTAGCTTAGCGGGGAGAGTGTAGAGTTTTTATTATACATTATAATGTTAGTTAGAAATTCGGGACAATAGAAATCACTTTGGGCTGATGCAACTTAAGTGCATTTCGAGGTTATCAAGAATGGGTAGTTTTTTAAGAAGGATCAAAATGGTGGAGAGAAAATAACAATATTGGTCATGATCAACTATATGATTTTTGGGCAAAAAAAATTCTGTTTACATAAAAACCTTAGGTCATTTTTGAATGCGGCAACTTAAAAATAGTCAATTGACTATATATGAGACAATTTAGATCACATTATTATAGCCCACAAAGGCGCAAATAAATACTCCCCCAAATGATTTTTCGTTGATTACATCAGGATATTCTGTAAAGGCGCCGCCAGAGGATTCTGAAAAGATTTCCCTATATGAGTCTGTACAAAAGTTATGTGAGGACTTTTTGTGTGAGTATTACTCTATAGAAGTCTGCAAAACTCCTCTATACAAATCAGTAGAAACTTTTATGTAGTTGTCCGTACAGACTCCTCTATAAGAAGACTACAAGGACGTATTCATAAGACAATTTAGATTTATTGCAATCGGTAGACTTCTTCACAGAAATCTATATAGAATTCTATTTATACGAGCCTATAAAAATACTTTATTTGTGACTACAAGAATTTCATTACTGAAGTCAGGAATTCTTTAAGTCTTTGGGTCTTATGCTATATCTTATTAAAATTTCCTTTCTTATATAACCCTCGAAAAAGGGTATTCAATGTTGGATTTATTTATTCTAACACATTTTTGTACTTTTGCCCCACCCAACATATTCGCTTGTAAAGTACAATTACTTTAATGTTTGCCATCTCTGCGGTAATTCATCTAGCATTTCCTTCCGGTTGTCAGAGGTAGCAAAACCTACATCCTACCGTTATTGTTGTTCGTGGAGGGGTTTCTTTCACTTCATTTTTTTAAGCAATTTAATATTCGTTTGCCGTTATAGAAATTCTTAAAAAGAAGCTCAATTTCTGTCCGTAAGGCACGGTCACTACACACACACTCTCGTTGTTGTAGTACTATGCAGTTGTACACTTTTTGTTGGAGCCAAGTCGGAATAAACGGAGAAACAAAACTTCGGAAGCAGCTTTTCATCCTATTGCATCCTGGCCTGTGGTTATGCTATTCCAGCTATTTTCGTACGACATGCAACTTCCTTGCCGCAAATAGAAAAGCTATGGATGTTTTGTGTGGCTGGCTTCTTGTTGCTTGCTGCTGCAAGACCACAAATAAAATGTTGCAACAAAAAGCCAAGTTAACATCAGCAACTGCAGCAGATGAAAAACAGGTGCTACCATTACTCCGTGCCCAGCATGTACACACTTAGCATGCGAAAGACACGGACCAAGGACATGGTAAGGAAAGCGAGAGAGTTTTGTTCGCCACCGATGCAACGGGTTTTGTTTAGTTGATTGCAAATATTTTTCTTCTCCAATTTTTCTCTTTCGTTTTATTTTGTTGGCCAATGAAAAGAATAAAGGAATATATCTAGCGCGCACACACGCAATGCACGCAGCAAGTAATTTTCTTCTATTTTTGGTGGTAAAGTAAAATAATTTTAAGCATTCATATCTATGGCAAACGACCCGCAACTAACAGCAGCAGCAGCGATGGCTCTTCTATGGGACTTTGTTCTATTGTTGGCCTTAAAAATTCCGGATTTTGGCCAAAGAAAATATTTGCATTTTATTGCAGGATAGTAGTGTGTTTCGAGGCTTTCAGAATGAAGCATGACAGTGGTTGGAATTTCTTCATGGATATTAGCCGTCATTGTCATGGAAATATTGGATGGGAGGGCGGAATTGAAGGGGACACCGCGCAGCTAAGAATAATCTTACGTTTATTTATACAATGCAATTTTGGTGTGCTTAAATAATTCTTCTTTTTTTAGCCGCTCTATTAATATTATAAAATTTCATTTGACAATAGCATTTTACTTGCAGATTATTTTGCATTAGAATGCGGTGCTCAGGATAAAACAGCGTTATTTATTTGCATTCATTTAAACTGGAAAGGTGGACTTGTGGAGGAGAGTAAAGGGTTAAATATGTACTTGATGACCAAAGTCATTCATTATTAATTATAGAGTGACTGTTTATTGACCGTAGAGTCAATCTTAAGTCAGGACTTCAGTGACAATGTTCTAGCTATAGAATCAATGGCAATTGACTATAGAGTAAATGATTAAGTACCAATCTAGGGATAAAAAACTATTGACTATGGAGTCAATAACCATTGGCTATAGAGTCAATGACCATTGACTAGATTAAAGAGTCGATGACTATTGACTGTAGAGTCCATGAAAATTGTAACTATAGAGTCAATAATCATTGACTGTAGAGTCAATGACCATGGACTATAGAGTCAATGCCCATTGAATATAGAGTCAATGAACACTGATGGTAGTCACTTACCATTGACTATAGGGTCGATGTTCATTGACTATAGAGTCAATAACCGTTGCTTATAGAGTCCATTGAATATAGAGTCGATGGTCACTGAACAAAGTGTCAATGACCATTGACTATAGAGTCTGATCTCTGTCTTTATATTCATCGTTACAAAATCTAAAATTAAGCCCCTTAACTGATGAACCACTATTCCTTGAATACAATATCAATGACTGTTTGTTACGGGGACAATTTTCATTGACTCCAAAGTCAGTAATGAGTCATTATCCATGGAATATAGGGTCAATGACCATTAGCTATAGAATCAAGGACAATGGATTATTTTATTATTTACGATATATTCTTTTACGCTATCAACAATTTGCAATTTAATTTACCAATTGTTTCCTCTTAGTTGCTACTCATTATTGACCTAATTAACTTTCCTAAAATAATTTCAGAAATCAAATGACTTTTTACTGCAATAACTTCCCCTTGGAGTGTGCACCTTCCCCCTAATGAACTGTTTTTTTTTTTTTTTTTTTCAATTACTGTCAACCATTTAAAATATTATTTTTGTGATTTGATTGAAAATATGCAGTCCCCCTTCCCTTGAATTTGAGTGGCGTCATGAAAACACCTGCAAGCGCAATTTGTAATTTAAGAATGTGAATAAATGTTTATTAAACGCAAATGCAAAACCTTATAATTTAAAATTGCACATGCACACCCATTGCCACCTACAAGTTAAATGTCTACAGGAAACGGATATGCCATACACCAGCAGAAACAGTAGTAGTCATACCATAACTTCTACCACTACTACGACAGTAGCTGCGGCGTCAAGCAAACTAACAGCAGCAACAAAAACGAGTGAAAAACGCTGTATTTAATTGCTTTTAGTTTACTTCATTTTTAGCTAGTCTTTATTTTTTGTTTTGTTTGCATTATTCATCTCTCTCTCTCTCTTTGTTTTTCTTTCATTGCAGGTTTGGCGTCATCCCTGGCGCCGTTCATATCATAAACGCAGGAAGGCTCAGTGGGAAACTGATGCCAACTATTGTTCTATGGTAAGTTTTTAATAAAAGTTGGTGGCGGTCTGGTTCTTCTTGTTCTCTTTTTTGGGTCCCATTGCTATTTGCCTTTTCTTGGCTTTAGCTTCCTTTTCTTCTAGGACTATCGTCGTCATAATGTTGACGACAAAGACTGGTGTTGAATTTCGTGGGGGTTTTGAACTCTTTTTTGCCTTTAAGTTTTCTCTTCTATGGCTTTGGCTGGCTCTTCCTTGTTTGCCCCGTTTCTTTCCTTTGCTAATTTCCATTAATTTAAAAACAAATAAAATGCTAAAATAAGATGAGCAAATAAAGAACACGTTACACAGAAGAAAACGAAGAAAATGAAGACAAGCAAAAAACGAACGATTTTCTTGTGGAATAGTTAAAAACACGGGACTTGCACGACCTGAAACCTTATGAAAACGCTGAAAAAAACACACACAGAAAGCAATGTTGAATCAAAAAGCTGTTAAGACAAACGAAAATGAACGTAAACTAACTGCCGCAGTATTAAAATTTAATATGCCACTTATAATGTTGCATTAAACTTAAATGAAAAATCTACAATGGTTTACTCGGTTAGCGTCGCCCGCTAAAAAGGAAATTAAAAACGGTATTTGATGGCCAAGACGAGTAATGTTGGCATAAACTGCATTCATAAAAGCCAAGTTATGGTTGGTACTTTTTTGATACTCTTTTGTCTTTGTTGTAATACTACTGGTGCTGTTGACTTTTTATCCATTCTGCTTGTGCCATTGTCTTCGTCGTCTGTGCATTTGTTTCCTCTTCCACCCTGGGATAAATTTAATTTAAATCAAATTTAATAGCTCTCGAAATAAAGTAATTAGTATGGATTTCTTATTGAGAATAGACGGGAGTAGGGAGTGTTAAATTTATAATTACCTTGCACCATAAAAAAGACAGAATTAGCGCAAAAATGAAGGGGCGCCCAAATGATGGCAAAAGTGTTATTTCTTGTTAGAAAGAGGAAATGTAGGAAGGATTGACAGATAGCGATATAATGAGGGTATAGCAATATTCATATGGGGTCATACCTATATTGACAATGCTATGCAACAGATGGTAAAACCCATTACAAACTATAAATACCAAATTTTAAAAAGTTCCGTTGAGAAATTGGGCTAATATCATCGATATACCGAATGTAGGCATTGAACCAATGTGAATATCAGAATCAAATTAGGAGGTACTACTATATGGGGCTATTATATGCAATGTTTCAAATATTTCAAACCCACATATTAATCAGGGTTACAAACTGTCACTTATATTTGGTCGGTTGTTGGTAACTTTATAAAATTTATTGTAAATTCGACTTGTAAATGTCGTCTTTGCCCAGTTTGACGATGATCTGGCAAAAAAAAACCTTTCAGAATTTAAAGTGGGTGGGTCTTATTGATTCAAACACTGTTTAAAATCCCCTTTCTCCTTCAATAGCGCTTCAAATACATTTCATTGTTTTATATAATTCGTAATTTATTAAATTTTAATTTTATTAATATTGGATTTAACCTCTACAGGTTCGTGATATACCACCCTATGATGAAGGACGTCGTTTGCTTGATTTAATGGATATGTCAGTGTTTGATTTTCTGACCGGCAATATGGATCGTCATCATTATGAAACTTTCAAGTAAGTATGTCCATTACTTATGCAAACTTGCGAACCCCCAAATAAATGGCTATAATTAATAAAAACAAAAATACCAAAAACGAATGATATTGCATTAAATTTCCTATAAATTGCTTGACAAGTATGTCCTTGTGGCGGTTCGCTCGTTTGCGATGCAACCAAGAACTTCACTTCCACGATGCCCATGCCGAGTAACCATACCAATTACGAATTCATACGAAAGACACACACAATCAGCACTTTCCTTGAATTCTCAGCGGTGGTGCCGATATGTATGCACGTATGTATGTATGCATTTAGTGCATACACCAAACGGAACCCAAAACCATTGTGTCAGAACTTAAATGACATTCTGATATTACATTCAGTGGTGGTGGTTTTTGGCTCGTGTCAGCACTTTCTTAAAATTCCAGATTGACAACAAAAATTTGTTCTGGACAATAAACGAATGTAATGGTGTGGCGGTGGTGGTGGTGGTTACATTTCTTGGTACTGGCCAAAAGCCTCCAAAGTGTGTGTGTGTTGTTGTATGTGGGAGACACTCTGCCATTTTGACATACATTCGATTGCTGGCATATATTTCTGGCAATCACTGATTTTCATAATTGATTTACTAGTAGCTAACGAACGTACAAAAACCCTGAGTTGACTTCAATGGACCGTAACATTTTGATCTGTTCTCTCTCTTTTTTAATTAAGCAAAGAGTGCAATATAAAAACCGAATGAAATCAACATGTTTTGGTTAGCAGAAGAAAAAATTGGGATGTCTATGTGGAGACATTTTCAAAATTGTTGGAAGATTGTTTCATATTAACATTCATTATATTTTCTTTCGTTTTTTTTTTTTTTTTTTGTTTCGGAAGGGGTTACAAGTGCGATTGTAAGATTTAGACGAAATTTCGAATTTAGTCTCGTTGAGTGCATATTTTTGGTGAATCTTCGACTGAACATACAATCGTCTCTTGGCTTTAACATCGTCTCTCGCTCCAAACCCATAGGTTTTTCTGTATTGGTAAACATTGACATTTTTACACTAAAAACAAGCAAAAAAGCTGCAAGTTCGGCTGGGCCGAACTTTGAATACCCTACACCATTTATTGTATTGCACTTCCTTGAATTCTCAGCGGTGGTGCCGGTATGTATGCACGTATGTATGTATGCATTTAGTGCATACACCAAACGGAACCCAAAACCATTGTGTCAGAACTTAAATGACATTCTGATATTACATTCAGAGGTGGTGGTTTTTGGCTCGTGTCAGCACTTTCTTAAAATTCCAGATTGACAACAAAAATTTGTTCTGGACAATAAACGAATGTAATGGTGTGGCGGTGGTGGTGGTGGTTGCATTTCTTGGTACTGGCCAAAAGCCTGCAAAGTTTGTGTGTTGTTGTATATGGGAGACACTCTGCCATTTTGACATACATTCGATTGCTGGCATATATTTCTGGCAATCACTGATTTTCATAATTGATTTACTAGTAGCTAACGAACGTACAAAAACCCTGAGTTGACTTCAATGGACCGTAACATTTTGATCTGTTCTCTCTCTTTTTTAATTAAGCAAAGAGTGCAATATAAAAACCGAATGAAATCAACATGTTTTGGTTAGCAGAAGAAAAAATTGCTGAATTTTTAGGGATGTCAATGTGGAGACATTTTCAAAATTGTTGGAAGATTGTTTCATATTAAATATATTTATTTATATTGACATTCATTATATTTTCTTTCGTTTTTTTGTTTGGGAAGGGGTTACAATTGCGATTGTAAGATTTGGACGAAATTTCAAATTTAGTCTCGTTGAGTGCATATTTTTGGTGAATCTTCGACTGAACATACAATCGTCTCTTGGCTTTAAGGAGAGTAAAGGGAGAAATACCTCATGGGGAGAATATCCTCGCTTCTGTATTTACACTAAAAACAGGTAAAAAAAACTGTAAGTTCGGCCGGGCCGAACTTTGAATACCCTCCACCATTTGTTACAAATTTAACAATTTTCAAAAAAATAAAATCCGTTAAAAATTCTGTTGAAATCTGAAAAATACCGAATGTAGCCGTATATTAGGGTCTATACGATGACGTGGACCTGTATAGTCAACTTTTGTCACAAGCTATTACAATATTCAAATGCGAAACTTAAAAAAAAATCTGTTTATAATGTAGCTAAAATCTTCAAAATACCGAATATAGGGAGGTACCATGGGGGTTATAAAACGTGGACCTGCACAGACAATTTTCTGTCATAGGCTGTAGTATCCATTACGAACTTCAAATGCGAAATTTGAAACAATTCCGGTAAATAATGTCGCTAAAATCATCAAAATACCGTATATCGGAAGGTACTGTTATATGGGGGCTATACGAAGACGTGGACCTACATGGCCCATTTTCAACACCAAAAGTCCTGCAGACATAATACACATTTGAGTGAAATTTTATCAACCTACTCCATTTCGTTCGGAAGCTAGAGTGATTTCCACAGACGGACAGACGGACGGACTTCGTTAAATCGACAAGAATATATATACTTTGTGGGGTCTAAAATGTATGTTTCGAGGTGTTACAAACAGAATGACAAACTTAATATACCCTCCATACTATGGTAGAGGGTATAAAAATAAATAAAAAACAATGAGTAATTTAAAAGAATAAAATAATTTCGGTTTCCCCAAAAATAAATGAAAACGCTATTCTGGCATTTAAAGTCTTTATATTATTATTTTTTTTATTTTTGTATCTATAAATCTTCATTAACCTAATCTTCATTAGGATTGAATGTAAATATTTATTAATAATAATAATAATAAAATTTGCATTAATCAAAAAATAAGTCATTATGGTAATCCCTAATGGCTATTGCAATGTTTTTTTTTTTTTTTTTAATCCGCATTGGTTTATATTCCTATTTCGCTAGAAATCCCTACTCACGTAGTAACCGATTTTTTTTTCCAATTCCATATAGGATTTTTTAATGTTTTCCCCTTATATCATAAATTATCAATAAAAGTAAAAAATATTGTTCTCATATCCTTGAATAAATTATGCTTAATGTTACAATAAAAAAATACAGTAAATAATATTTCGTTAAATATATATCAATTATGGAAATCAATTTCCATTTTATAAAAAATAAAATAAAATAAAATAAATATAAACGATCAACTAATACAAAATTATGGGGAGAAAATTTATCTGTCTGTCAATCTGATTTTGTTTTTATTTTAGCAGTCCGGTAATTAACAATAAATAATTAGCAATTTTCCAAACTCAAATAGTATTAAAAATTAAATAATTCACTTGATAGAATTGAGCAACAAATTTAGCTATAAGTCACCAAGGATAAAAATTAAGTTTGCATTATAGATCATTACATGCATATTGCAAAAAAAGTTTCAGCCAAAGAGAAGAAATATTCTGCACAAAATTTTATTATAAATCCCTGAATAAACCATAGATCTTGGTATAACAGTTTTTAAGGAAATTAATTTCGAAATTCGTGTATTACATAGTATTAATATAATGTACCATAAAAATATAATCCATTTTATTTTATAACAATTTAAAAAGCTGTAAGTTTGGCCGGGCCGAACTTTGAATACCCTCCACCATTTGGGACGAATTTGTCATAGACTGTAAGATGTATTACGAACTTCAAATACCAAATATGAAACATTTCCAGTGAATAATTTCGCTTAAATCTCCAACATACCGAAAATAGGGAGGTACCATTATATGAGGGCTATACCAAAACGTGGACCTACATGGACCTGTGGACATAATATACATTTGAGTAAAAGTTTAACAACCTACTTCATTTCGTTCGGAAGCTAGAGTGATTTTAATACATTGTACAAATATACTGTTTTTATACCCTACAACAGGCCAGAATTTATGTAACACCTCGAAATATTGGTTTCCCATATAGGAAAGTATATATGGATCTTCCTAGCTCGCCGAGCTGAGTCGATCTAGCTATGTATGTCCGTCCGTCCGTCTGTCCGTCTGTCCGTCTGTCCATGTTAATTTGTAATCACTCTACAGGACGCAATTATGGCCCGATCTTCACGAAATTTAGAATGTACGTGGGGTTGAGGTCAGAATAGAACCCTATTTTTTTTGGAGATGATCGCCAAATGTTTAGGGGTTGAAATGGACCAAATACTGAAAAAATGTTGGATTTTGCAGTAGATATACAGGTCGCAATTATAGACCAATCGACGCGAAATTTCGCTTGTAGCTAGAGTTTAGGGCAGGGAAGAAGCCTACCAATTTGGGTGATCATCGGATAATATTTAGCGGGTAAAATAGACCATATCTTTTGTGTTGAAAAAAGTCAAAATTTTTCATTAAACCGCGAATATTTTAAATCCCGGCTAAATCACAAAGCCATGACAAGGTTACTTCTGATCTTTACATTGATGTTAACATCCAACAAATCGGATATATAGCAAAATATGTGCGATATACATGTCTATCAAAGAGGATATGCTTGAAAGATCTCTTATATGTCGAGAACGGCTGAACTGATTTCGACAGTTCTCATTAATTCAGAATGGCCTCTTGGCAGGAAAGAAAAAACGTCTAAAAAAATTGCATAAAAATATCTCTCTAAAGATGAAAATATGGATTTTGTAAAATTTTCTCATATTTTTTCAATTTTGTCATATTTTTGGCATATTTTCATTTTGAATTAAACATTTGGTAATTTTTCTACAGCTAACAAAACTAAGTAGTTAGGATATCAGGATATCATATACAGATCGCATTTATGGCCCGTTCCTTACGAAATTTTGCATGGGGATAAAATGAGGGTCAGAATAGAAGCCTACTCTTTTTGGAGATGATCGCCATATATTTAGCGGTTGAAATGGACCAACAAAACTGCAAAATTGTCAGCAGGTCGTAATTATCGCCCGATCCTCACGCACATTTGAATTGGGGCTACCGCACATTGCAAAAGCCAAGCAGTTTTGGATGGCCATCCAAAAATATTCAATGT